AGCTATGGCAAATCTAGACAGCATACTAAAAAGCAGAGACATCACCCTGCCAACAAAAGTGTGTAAAATCAAGGTTATGGTTTTCCTCGATGCAATATATAGTTGTGAAAGTTGGACCATAAGAAAGGCTGAGCGCCAAAGAATTGAGGCCTTTGAATTATGGTGCTGGAGAAGACTCCTGTGAGTTCCTTGGACTGCAAGGCGATCAAACCGGTCAGTCCTAGAGGAGATCAACCCTGATTGCTCTTTAGAAGGTCAGATCCTGAAGATGAAACTCAAATACTTTGACCACCTAATGAGAAGGAAGGATTCACTGGAGAAGAGCCTAATGCTGGGAAAGATTGAGGGCAAAAGAAGAGGACAACAGAGAATGGGGTGCCTGGATGGAGTCACCGAAGCAGTAGGCGTGAGCTTAAATGGACTCCGGAGGATGGGTGAGGACAGGAAGGCCTGGAAGAATGTTGTCCATGGGGTTGCGATGGATCATACACGACTTTGCAACTAACAACAACAGATAGACAGAATTGCATTACAGACTCAAAAAAATTTGTTTTTTGGAAGTTAGTTTGTGGAACGGCCACACTTGTATGGCAGGACTAGGTATTTACATTCTCGAATTCTCAGTGCCAGAACCTTGAGTTAGATTTTCTATGGTGGAAAAAAAATGTATTTATGCATTGCCATTTAATCACATCAGGGAAGGCCCAGTTATTTCTATACTGACTGAAGGATCACCAACTGCTCTGGATTTACACTATTCATGCCTGTATCAGTGGGTGTTGGTTTGACTATAGGTTCCAATTACTGTGACCCACTTTTGTGGATTCATTGCAATCAGTAGGTGGTCTACAAATGTCTTAAACAAATTAATTTACTGGATGAGTATGTTGTTTCCACAAGCTACGAAGGGGAGGCAGCAAGAATTATTAGCCACAGGGACTCCTTTTCTTGCTAAACCCAAACTGTCTTCTTTGGATCAATCACATCCTGCCAATTTCGGAAAGGTGCAGTTGCCGTCTAGCAAAAGAGGATCTCCCGGTTTTCTGGTTGTCTTTTTCCATCGTTCAGAGAATTCTGGGGAATGGGAAATTCTGGTGTCTGGTGGGAAGTTGTTCTTTCCAAGGCTCCACAGTTAAAACTCCAGCAATCTAAGGCCAAGGGCTTTTTGCTTCATGGGGTAAGTGGAGCAGCCCCCTCTTAATCCCAGCAGAGCTCTGGCGGGATCTGTTGCCAAAAGCTTGGTCTGTTGTTGCAAGGTGCCCAGCAAAGAATAGCTTGTTTGTCCGGAGCACTGCAGTCCCATTCAGAAGCCCTTTAACCAGATTAGAGAAGGATTGAAGGCATTAGTTCATGGGTGCCTTGGAATGTATTCTGCACGAACCCAGGGCATTGCCCAACCACCCATGGGAACCCAGCATAGCTTTCCAGCCAGGAAGCCTGACTCTGGGCACAGGGGGGATTTTGTCAGCCACCGGGAAGGGGGCTCCTGGGTTAGGAGACAACAAGGCTTGAAGAGCCAGGGATCCCTGGAGGGTGTTAATGATTAACTGCCTTTTGAGTCCTAACTGGACTGTGCCAGGAGCTGTAAACAAGCCAGAGCGGTGCTGGCATATTTTCCCTCGTCCCTCCTTATTTTCTTGGACAGGGACTGTGGGGAAGGGGAGGGGGAGAGACATATTGACTGGATCGGGAGGAGAGAGTCCCGGCGGGCCCTGACAGTGGGATGGAATGCAAAGAACAGTATCCACGAGATCAGCACTGAAAGACATCCAGTCCCTTGTGCTCAGCAGACTTCAGCCCCTCTGTCCTGGTAGCCCAAGGAACATAATCTTCCCTGCTTTCCCATGCATGCTGCTACTTTTGACCTTAGGAACATGCATGCAAGCACACACATCGTCTTTCGGCTTTGGGTGTCATCTTGTTATTGCTATTGCACCCAGAGATTGCATAGTTATACTACCCTCTGCTGGTTCCCCCAAGCAGCACAGTTTCTGGATATCCCTCACATAATTTACTTAGTGGCTCTAATGCATTTTATTTTCTATGCCCTCTTGTCTAGAGATACTTAGTTTACCATGCACACATCACACAACTAACTTACCATCCAATTCTTCCACTCCCTGGCAAGGGGAGCGTGTCAGTCAATATTGCGGGCCAAGGTGCCCTTCCAGGAAAATGAGGTGGCCTTCCTAGTTCCAGATGTGCTTTTAGTCATGGGATCAACTGCTGGATCCTCTGTAAAGAAAACTTCAAGCTTTATATTTTTTTTAAAAAATGTGTGCTCTTTTACTTGGCTGCATATTATTCTCTGGCAAACGTGCGCTCATCTGTGAGTGAGTTTGCAAGGCGAGAACATACTGTGGTTCTTCTGAGGCGATGAGGCAACATAGTCCTTGTGCTCGCAACTCTAAGCCCTCAGCGGTGGAACCAAATCCAGCCCAGAAATAACTCCCCTTCCCCCAACAGGCTCCAATTGCAATGGCTGGCATCTGAAGCAGCCCCCTAAGTTGGTTGTCCTCCACTCCCCCTGGCTCCAGTGACGGAGGCCCCAGCACCAACCAGAGGGAGTCAAAACACTAGTGGGTCCTTAACACCTGGCCTGGGAGGAGGCTGAGCATCCATCTTTATTCCTGACAGGTTCCTTTCAATCCATGATTTGCTGGCACTTGGCTGACTATCTGGATGTAGCCCAGCAAACCCTGTCTCCGCCTGCGTCATAAACCTTAGAGACACGCTCCTGAAGCTCGGAACTAACAGTTGAGCAGCGAGGAGCACGCAGGCATAAGTAACTTTGCTTCCCCTCCCCTTCCTAATTCTTTGCAGGAGACCTGATAAAACATCAGTAGGACATCTTGCAGGATACCAACATCTCCAGGAGTATCCCTATGCAGTTTTGCAGCACTCCAGAAGGATGTCCCAGTCGCAACTTGTCGGAATCTTGCTTGCATTGGTGCTCTGCCTTCAGGTAAGGGTCTTGAGTCCTTGTCTGGTTGTTTCAGACCAAATACACAAACACTGAGCAGGCCAGTCCACCTATTTTCTTTCCTTTCTTTTCCTCAGGGAGCCTCTGCCCAGGTTATGGAATATGTCTATGAATACGTGTATGAAAGTTGGAAGGCTTACAGTGAAGAATGTCATCGCAACATGAGCCTTTGGCCACCATCTACTGGTGAGACAAGATCCCCCTGGAGATTGAGTATCAGCTGGCAATTTATCTGAGCAAGGAAAGTGAGGCAGGGGGCAAGCATTAACAGTTCAGCAAAGTGTTTACTGATTTTCTTCCAGCTTGATCTGCTGGAGTCATATGCTTTTGAAAGCTGGGTTCCTATGCTTTTTGATAACATCCTGAAAACTATTAGGCAAGAATTTTGGAAATGCTGGCATTGGAAGAATGGAGAAAGACATCACAGAAATAGTAGAATGTAACTTAACAGATCACTTTTTTTCCTTGAGAGTGATGCATTCATGTATGTACAGACACACACAAATGGTTACAAGGCTGAGGTTTATGAATGAAGTACAAGGCAGGAAATACTAGGCAATCATACACCTTTTCACATGTGAGTAAAGCAGACGGAATGATCTCACGGATATTGATCTTCAGTACAACTTATTTGAGTCAAGTCAATTCCCCAATAGAGTTTATTGGGTAAAACATTTTAGGTCCACATAATGTGAGATATTTCACACACACACACCCCACATATAATTGTTGTACCTATCTTTGTATTTTCTTCTCTTCTCTAGATTTGGTTTGTAACCGAACCTTTGATAAGTATTCGTGCTGGCCTGATGCACAACTCAACAGCACTGTCAACGTTTCCTGCCCCTGGTACCTGCCCTGGTATGATCAAGGTACAGTATTTGCACTAGGGAGATGATTGCCATTGCAGCATGTATTTAGCAGGGAAAATGGGCTGTGTGTCTCTAAACAATGTGTATGGTGATTCTAATGTCGGAGAACTGGGGAGACCCTTTCACTTCCATCTTCAGCCAAGGAAATTGACTGGATAATTGGAATAAACAAACCTACTATCCTACCTTGTCTAAGCACGGAGATACAATAAGAGGATATGATGTACTGCAGGGGTATCAAACTGGATTCCTTTGAGAGCAAGATCAGCATTGTAGTTCTCTTCCGTGGGCCAGCTGGGGGACAGGTAGTGGGGTGGGATACAGGATGGACGCCTCCTGCAGCACCCTGCTGGCCCAAAGGGGGCATGCCCTCCCATAATCCCCCCATGCTCCATTTTGGCCAGCAAAGTGCTGCAGGAAGCCATCCAAGCCAAACACATGTCCACCAAACATGCAGAGGCTGCATGCACCCTCATCCCACCCACCCCCATGCCCCATTTTGGCTGCCAGAGGCACCGCGAGCCAGTCCTTTGCTATTTCAAAGCCAGCCCCACGGGTCAGATTTAAGCATCCTTGAGTTTGACACCCCTGATGTACTGTATTCTTTTATTATATATGCCTGCAAGGTAGTAAAAAATTCAGTGATACATGTCAACTTTCAGCCTAAGAGATGGCCGTATATTAGTCAATATGCTTACATATGGTCTATAATTCACAGTGGGGTAAATGAATGATATACTATGCCATTATTATTTCAAAGCTCTAGAAAGTCTTTTTCTAGTTTTTACTGTTTTGTTTATTTAGTTTTTGTTACCTATTATTTGAGATACTTCCCTAAAATTTAGATTTAATGTAGTTTATCAATTTTAAAATATAATTTAAAAGCTTACACGCACTGTGCTTCGGTTCTGAATGAAAAGAGGGTCATAAAACTAATATAAAATAAGGGAAATGGTCAGCGCATGCATAAAAGATTAGCTAATTTTCTGGGGAAAGGTGAGATGAAAGTCAGAATTTAAATTTAGAACAGACGTTAGAATCAACAATAGAAGATTAAAACTCAGAACAGGTAGAGGTTCTCCATGGAGTCACATATATTTATTATAACGTTCCTCTTTCTTCCTGTAGTGAAGCATGGCTATGTATTCAAGAAATGTGGTCCAGATGGACAGTGGGTAACTGGTCCCGAAGGGAAGTCATTGCGCAATGCTGATCAATGTATGATAGACAACAAAGAAGACCAGGTTAGCAGAGATCTAAATAAGCTCTATTAATTTCTAAAAGATCATCTTTTTCTGGCTTCCAATAGATATTTGAATTGATTTGGTTCATCAGACGAACTTTTTTCCTATATTCCCCCCCCCCCTCAGGAGTGGTTTGACAGAATCTACGGAAGCTTCAGAGTGATGTACACGGTGGGCTACTCGGTGTCCCTCTGTGCTCTGCTTCTGGCCTTGGCTGTGTTGCTGGGTTTCAGGTGATTTGGAAACTGGACTGGGGCTGGAGATGGTGGGCTGGTTGACACTTGCAATAGTGGAGGAAAAAGGAAGAAAAAAGAAAATGAATTGGGTTGGAATGAGATGGATTCCTTCAAAGAAGGAGGAAAAAAGAAAGAGGGGGGGGGTATTAGTAGAGCTGGGTCATGCATCTACTATTAATGCCATCAGAGTAAACATCCAGGGCCTCACAGCATAATGAGCAAAAGAGGCCCTCAAGCAAAACAGGTGTGGATTATTGATAGCTACATAATAGTAGTGTTCCAATGTCTCAGGGGCTGCCACAAAGAAGAGGGAGTCAAGCTATTCTCCTACGTGGCACGACAAAACCGCGCTACGCAAAATAGCGGAGATTAAATCGCGTCACTAAAGTCGCGACGTCATCA